GTTGCTCAAGGTCACACTCCTAATAAGTGATGGAACTAGAATTCAAACTCAGGAAGTCTAACTCCAGAACTTGAACTCTAAACTACTATAACATATTGTTTCTCTATTGAGAACAAACCTGTTCTTTATTTTTAACACAGTAGCAAAAGTATCATAAAACCTTATAGTAACACATATGATAAAAAAACAGATCAAGCAGTACAAAAGGACATATACTGAATAACGTCCCTCTTATACCTTCCCTCCTACCCCCCTCTCCTTCCCCCAGAGCTTAGTCTACTTGGTATCTATCAGTGAGAGTCTGTAAAGGCCAATATTATAATAGTCATGTACATTTACTGAAAGGCTACTTCATCAGGGATTATAGTTTTCCTTTTACATACACATCATCTGAAATCCTTACAATTCTGAAAGCTAATATTATCTTTACTTTATGGATGAGAAAACAAAGAGATTAAGAAGTCAGTAACTGCCATAACGTCATCAATCCTGTTTAAGTGCATAGGAAGTTAAAATTGTGTCAACACTTCATTCCTCCCTTACCTCTACCTGGAATCCGTACTGAAGAACGACATTTTTTATATCCTCATAGCTCAATTCTATGGAAAGTTCATTTGCCAAATTTTCAAAGTGGTACAGGAGAGGACCTATGGTTTAAAGATACTATGAGTGAATTACCTGAATATAAACATGCACTAGTAGCTGTGTTAGACTGAATTCCAAGTTGAATAAATTTTGAGTAGATGAAACAAACATAAAAAGGAGAAGTAAAGAACCTTTACACTTGCTGAGGACACTTAGCCACACCTCTGAAACTTCAGCCCAGTAACTGATATCTGAGTGCAGGACCTACCCTCATGGGGAGTGAGTCCCTCTGGTATACCTGCCTTGCACTGTCAATCTCCACATCATGCGCCTTCACCTATAATTCTTAAATCAGAATGCTAAGTCCTCAAATTCCGAAAGTATATTGTAATTATAATTCTATAAGTAAATGCAAAACTGCAGTTAAAAACTGGTTATCATGTGAAAACAGAGAAGCAGCCTCAAGCTAGCCCGGGTAGGAGAGAGTGTGGGGTGGAGAGAAGTTATAGGGAAAGCTTCCTGAAAGGAAGAGGTGACACTAGACCTGGCTTTTTAAGTGCACTGTTCATATCCCAGCTCTTATACCTACTAATTGTGTGTCTATAGGTAAATTACTAACTGCTTCACTTGTAACATAACTTTAACATAAGATAATATATCTATGATAAATAAGGCACTAAGTAAATGACAGCTACTACAGCTATTTTTCTGACATTCCACCTTTACTATGATCTCATTCCATATATATAAGGAAATAACATCTGATTCGAACCAGGATTTTCCAACCTTTCAATTGCACACATTTTGCCCAATCCATTAACTTCATCCAGACAACATTATTACTTACCACAGTTATACCTCAGACTAATCTAGACCATCTTCTCTTTCTCTTTCATGGGTTAATTATAAATCCTTCAACTAGCTCTCTAACTCCACTCCTGATAAAATATGCTAATCATGGGAGATAAAAATAACAAATAGGACAAACTTTCTGCTCTCAAGAGATGCACCATTCTGTGGATTATACCTAGGGTAAAATTTTTTCTTTCTCTTTTTTTAAAATTTTACATAAACCACTAGAAAAAATGACCATGAATGTAATTTATATGTTAGTGCTCTTTTCAAAAGATAACAGTGGG